TTGAACAATGTGTGAAATGCCCTATTGAACAATGTGTGAAATGCCCTGGCCTGATGTGGCCAAGTGAAGAAGAGAGCACTGCACGCTGCCTAAAAGAGCACCTAAAAGAGCGATCTACGGGAAGACTCAATGGGAACAGATAATGCCCATCAGTAGGTTCTCTGTGTGCTCTTTGAAAAACAAACAGAAGCAGATGATTGTGCCAAGGAGTTCACATGGGGTACTATTACTTGGCTTCCATGCCCCTGGCATGTTTAATTTACCATGTAGAAGTAATACTCCTGTTAACAGCATTGTTTTGCTCCAAACACAAATGTATACAAGATATGTACAAGATACACAAGATCTGGTATTCCAACTCAGTTTTCAGCCAATTTATGAAGGAGAATAACAACTTCCATTTAGCATCAAAACATTTTTGGTAACAGAATGTGTACTAAGGACACCAAAAATGAACTGTCCTTTCATAAGGCTCCGGACGTGGCTGGGGGAGCGCAGAAACAACAAAGGCAATCTGTCAGGCTTTTTCAGGTCAACTTCTTCCTAGAAACATTAACAAAAAAAAGTGCAACAAGGAGACAAACATCTTAAACAATGTCTTCTGTGGGAACTAACAGCAATACTTGATGTGTTATTTGTTTGTTGGCCTGCCTTTTTTTACACCAAGCTTGTCACTGATGTGTACCACATACCCAGGTGCTTGTGAGACCGTGGTCTGGATTGGACAAGTACTGTTTAAAATGAACCCTCTTGTCTTTCATTTTACAAACATGGATCATTTCATGGATGTGATTGAGGGCAGTCATGTGCACAGTTAACCAGTACAGATTTATTAATTCAGACTCTTGGGAGAGGGTGGGAGCAGAGTGAGAGCAAACAAATTAAACCAGCTCTATTGCCAGTGGAGCATGAAGCTGAGCATAGCAGCTGGAAGTTAAGGTGTGCTACATTACTCAGCCTGTAATTCCAATCATAATGCTGCTGTTCAGAGTTTGCTTCTTTCAAAATCCCATGCTTTTCAAGCTGGACCTTCTTTTGGTCCTTACTGATATCTGCTATTTGGAAGCTCATCTTCATGAGAATGCTCATTGTTAGTGTTGGGCTGATAAACAACGCTGAAAATAGAAATTCTACAGAACAACAGATTCAAGCACTTCGTTTTCTTGCCTAAAGCACACTGATTTCTTCAACTGTTTGGCTCCGTGGGTGGAACAGGCATTTCAGTATATATTGCTACGTTCATTACAGGGAGTTCTTCCACGCTAGAGATATTACATATTTGTTATTACTGCCAGTTCTCTCCTCCCTCGTACCAAGCAGTCATTTGAGCTAAATTTCCTTGTAAGGACAGACTCCCAGCAGTAGTATTTTTCTCCTCAAAGTGAAGATCTCTTCAGAGGTCAGTTCATTCTGCTTTCTCAGAATTCTGCCTCCCCCATATTCCTTAGACAGTCATTACTAAAGAAGATGTCAAAACCACCTGCAAAAATTCATGGGAATTCTAGAAATCAATGTCAACATCAACTCTTTGCAATCATTAACAACTCAAAGGCGGTGTTAGAGTTAAAAGCTTTTATGCAAGAAAAGATATTTAACACTGAATACAAAATCGGTTTGACATAGCTTATTTTGAAACATCATCCTCTTTCTTTTCATCAACTGTCAATTAAAAATCACAATTAAAAAAAGTCATCCGAAATACTTTTAAAAGCCTTATAAAAACATTCATAAAGTGCCACCCACAAAAGCGCCTAAACAAGAATCTGAGAGAAGAACCTATTAGGTTGTTAATTTACTTAATTGCTGCTGAGGACAAAGCTGTCAAACTGCTGAGGACAAAGCATCATCATCTGAGAACCTGCCAATTTAACAGCTATCCAACCGAGCAGAAATACAGTTCCAGACATGGCCCGCACAGAGGATGGCTGGGCCTGTGACATACACTCTGAGGCATCGAACTCTGTGTTGCAGGGGTTTGAAATAAATAGCTAACACCACCTAAACCCAAGAAAACTGCCAAGTGGGAGATGTGGATTCTGAGGGGAGCAATCATGCTAAGCTATGGCTTTACAACAAAGGCAAAACCCAGGCAATTTATACAGCAAACAGATTTTAGGACAAAAATCACAACCCTCTAAGAATAACAAAAGAAGGCACTGATCCTTGGAATGTCTCTCCCTCCTGGTCTTGAACACACCATACGGTAAGTATCTTTCTTCCCTCAAAGAGGGGCTGAGAACTACTACCCCACGGTAAGTATCTTTCTTCCCTCAAAGAGGGGCTGAGAACTGCTACCCCACGGTAAGTATCTTTCTTCCC